TATAGTATAGTATATATATATATATATATATATATATATATATATATATATATATATATATACACAAATTTAATTAATGTATTTTATTATGCCGTGTGACTGTAGTGAGGATGAAATGAGTCTCTTTCCGGCGAAATCTAAGGATTCCTCGAAGCACAAACAAGATCTCACAGATACATTCAGCATTGGTGAATTAAGCGATGAAAGTGAAGACTCTTTGAATCTGGATCCAGCACAACCACCACATCCATTCATGAGAACTTATGTTCCTACTGGATGTTTTGCTTGCCATTGCCATATATTATAATGTAACATAGTTTACATACTGGACTGATTCAAACTAATTAATTATTATTTAAGTATTAGTATACTGTTGAAAGCATAATATATTATATTTTTACCAAGTTGTTTTCTTTAAGTTGATTATGAAATCAATTTATTGTATCATATTGAATCATACATTGTTTACGAAGAATGTGCTTAAATTATTAAAGTTATTTTATTAAATTGCTATTTCTCTATTGTAATTTCTTTGCCATTATTATTATACAATGTTCGAGCATCTTGTGTACAATTATAAAGTAACATTCAAGCAAAAGGATTAATCGGTTCAATGAGTACAATTTATTGAGGACAACGCTTTCTTCTTCGTGAGCTAAGCAATTATTGTTAAGGATATTATTCAAATGTCGTTTCCCAACGTTTACTAGCAATTGGTAACACTCGCAATATCTATTTTGCATGATATTGCAGCAGGTAACGTTGAGCAGCGTATTCAAATGCATTTTAATTGAAATAGTAAATTAATCAAGAAAGCATCTCAAGTTCATTTTTGTAAAATTTTATACCTGGCAGTAATTTCGATTAAGAGAATAATTTGTAAGAAATATCCTATATATTTAGAATTATTTGTTTCAATCGATTTCTTGATTTGTTTTGTTTTTACTTCTATTCTTGTTTCATAAATACAAATACGAATCATTAAGTTGTTTGTTTATCAAAGATATTTATTAGCGGTTCTAACATACAGATTGTAACAAACATTTATTTTTTGCATATTATAATATTGTTTACAATATTGTTTACAAATTAATAGAATAGAAATGAAATTTACTAGCGAGTTTTAGCTGCACGAGGAACAGGCATAATTTTTTCTTTCGTAAATTCGCTCTCTTTGATTATTCTGTGCAATTCTGCATTACGAAAGAATACGAAAAAGATTGACGATTTTGAAAGATCCCCAACATACGCGGAATTATAAGTTTGCAGTATGTTACACTTTTATTAGATTGCAATGTATGTGAAAGGGATTTGTGGTACATCGAACGAATGCTCTATCGCGAGTGCAATACAGGAAGACGTTCCATGCACGAGGGCAAGAAAAAAATGACTATAATTAAGCGCTATAATTGAACATAGATGGACAACTGATATTTTTCTACAACCCTGGAAATTATGTAAAGATATTCTTTGACAATCTCCTTGCTAAATATCGATGCGACCTTGTAGATTCTCAAATTACAGGAAATTACGAATTCAATGAGGAGCATGGAGTAATTGAAGATTTCCTTTGTTACGGATTAAGTAATTCTTGAAATAAAGCTCATTTATTTCATTTTCACTCCGAGCAACACTTTCTTCTTGCATTTCTTTTTGCATAATATGTGCATACTTATTCATTATAATTTACCTGGTGAATGATGTAATTTTAATCTTTAACATAGAATTTTCAATCTTCTTTCTACGAATTTAAGTTTTGGATACTAAAATAAAATATCTCGAAAGAAAATTCACATGGTCTGCATAGTAATTCTAAACAATAGGAAGAAAGTTGTCTGGCGGCCCTTAAAAACGTGGCGTTTAAAGGCACGCCTAAGCGCACCGTTGCGTAAATCATAGCTTTTCGCGTGTATAAAATCGCTGGAAAGCGAAACAATGCCGCGCACGCTTAAAAGAACTTTTCTAGGCACGCACAATGTGCGCTAGATCCTACCGGTGAGATATTGCATGCGGAGAATATAAGAGGATGCCGCTGTAAAACGTGTCCGAACGCATTCTGTTACGGAGAAACACGAGAAACCACGAGAAAAATATTTTTTTTTTTCGCTAACTGATCTCGATCGCGATATGAAACGCACATTGCGTATGCATTTCTTTCAGCTGTAGCAATCGAGCAGCTTCTTTAGATGAATAATACGATAACTTTTATAATCATCTATTATTTATAATTTTTTTCTTTATTTACCTTTGAGTAAATACTAAAAATATTACTTCATCAAGACAAAAAATTGAGTTTTTTTTATTTAAAAAAATTTTTGTATCCAGTTCTTAGTTATTGAATAAAAAAGATTGAATAAATTCGCGTTTAATTTCTTATGTTTATCAATCGCTAAAAGTTTGCTAATATATATGATAATTCTTATGTTTATCAATCGCTAAAAGTTTGCTAATATATATGATAATTTTTAAAAAAAATAAGGATGCCTTTATCTTTGAAACGACTGATTAATAATTGACGGATAGTAAATTTAACTCGATCCTATCAATATGTAATGTATTAAATACTAGCAAATAAAACATAATTAATAACACTCTATAATGTGCAATATAAACATTTTTATTATATGATATTATTGATAATTATTTGTCGATAATGTTTACATTATATTAGTATATTTTATTCTAATATAAACAATACGATACAAAATAACACATTCACGATAATTATAGAAGATTATTTTTATTTTATTAATGATTTAATCGAAATATCTTTAATACTGAGTTTTTCTAAATTCTTATAGATTTAATTGTAACTTGCACTATTTTATAAAATATACATGTAGCGAATTAGTTTATTGTAACAATCCTTTAATTTAATTTAATACAGATAAAATACATACAATATATTTATCAGATAAATCATAATGAATTAATTAAATGAAGCAACAGATATAGGATAATTCGATTATTCAGAAAATATTTAAAACATAATGATTACAGCATTTAATATTGAATCATCAAAAGACGTTGTAACGTTTCGTATCAGTTAAATATTTTTCGTAATATTGTTGAATATTTCGTTTTATACACATTGTAGGTGTCGTAGCCTTGAGGATTGTTTACGCGCTGTGGCTGTACATACATACATACATACATACATACATACATACATACATACATATATACATACATACATACATACATACATATGTACATACGGCGAGCGTGTTTACGAGCGCTTCGACTGCTACCATTCTTCAACCGGCGTTCGCACGGGTGGGTAGCAGCGTGCGTCGCTCCGCGTTTCCTCATATTTTTTCGATGCTAAATGCTAAACGCTTGTTGTATCATATATTAAATGTAAGAGTAAATGCTTATTAACGACTAGTTCGATTCGCGTAAACTTATCGAAACGATTATTTGATGAAGTATATATACACATGTTGCGCGACTTTTATTCTTTGAAATTTATAACTTTTTATAAATATAACTTTTTGTAATCCCTCCGAGGGATTATCATTTACATGGCTTTGATGGAGAGAGTATTCCGAGGGATTTCGTGTCCTAAAGATGAAGAAGCTAACTCATTGCATCGTTATTAATAACATTAATATTAAATAACTCTAATGTTATTATTAATGTATTAATACATAGCATAGCCCTTATCTGACGAAAATGCATTTCACACTTTAATCGTCAATTTTGAATCAATATTTCGCTGCAGATTTAAGAGAATGAACGAACTGTAGAATTCGTCGCTTCACGCGTTTATTTCAGAAATGCCGTAAATATCAGGCTAGAACTTAATATTTTCACGGATAACTAAACGTGTGCCGTAAAGTATCACGTAAAAGACATTTAACATTAGTCCACGTGCGATTATAATTATTCGCGAGTGTTTTTCGCGAGTGTCCTTCGATGACCTAACATTCTGAGAGGAGGAGGAGACCTAGGAGAGGCATCGGGCACCGGCGGAGCAACCTTGCGGTAAATATACATACATTTTTTGTCATTATAAAATTAATCGTTTTTATATTTATTTATTTGTATCAGTTGATTTTGATTTTAATATTCATTTAATATTCGTAGTTCGGGAAAGAGAGACATTTTAAAATTTTGTACGAGTTTATAAAGATTTTTTTTTAAATTATATATAATTATTTTAATAATTATTTAATTAACGAACAAATAGATTTGATATGCGTAAGAATTATTTTAAGTGAAATGTTAACTGAAATATCTATCATTTCGAACGTAATTGGTAATTTGAATATTCTGTTTGTATGTTACAGATTCATCGTAGCTACATGGCAGATTAACTCCGCTGTTGCGCGTCGGGTTGGTGAGTGACGAATTTTTTTATATTAGGGTAACAAATCTGTGAAATTAAATTATTTTTATTCAGTAAAAGTATTGTAATTGGATCTTCACAGATTTGATGTCCTAAAATGGATAAATTTAAACGAACAGTTTAGAAGATATATTTCATATTATTTAATTCTGAATATTATACAATGTTCTCATTTCATTCACGATGAGATCTAAGTAACGGTTTTGGTTGTATTCTATAAATTTGTCAGTATTTGTATTTATTGAATATATATTTCGAATAAATAACAATTTTTGTACCAAACTCTACAAATTTTGTTATTGCATTATATTACATGATTTCTTAAACAATATATTAAAATCAAGATTTGAATTTTTGCTTTATTATATATAAAATTCATTGGGCATTCTTTTTGAAGAAAATAGATGAAAGAAAAAAGATTAGATGTAAAATAAATCTTTATAACACAAATGTAGTCCATTGTTGCTATTTTAATTTATTATTAAGTTATTGCCACATAATATATTATGAATATATTTCCTATGTCTCTTCAAAGGACTCCTTTTGATCGTAAATGTGAACACGAAAATGCTGGTAGCGTGCTGGCGTTCTAATTAATGGCTCATGTATCTGAAATTTATTCCACCTCCTCGCGGTATTCCAACGAACTCGATTTTTAATTAAGCCTCTCTCGACAGGCGCATGTGCATTAACAAACCGCTGGTTCGGCTCGCCACGTAAATAAACGCACGTTGCGTTAAATTCCCGTATCTCTGCGACGCATGATGCATCGCGTATGAATATGTAGCTGCACGTTGCGCGTCCTCATATATTATATGCGCGTCTACGCAATGGTCCAGAGAGGTATTCTCTTCTCTTCCTGGATGAATGCAAAATTAATTTATTCCTCGCAAGAACCTCTTGACAAATTGTAAAAGTAAAAGTTTGACGGTGGCGTTTTTTCGGGCGCTTAAATATTTTGTACACGTTTCTGCAACATTCGTTGACTCAACAAAAAAAAATATTCGTTATCTTGTCAGTAGAAGATAGAATTTATTAACATTTGTTTAATATTTTGTAATTGAGAAATCATATTTTTATATTGGATCGTATTATTATGCCAATGCATTCTCTAATCAGAAAGAAAGAGAAAAAAAAGCTAAAATATCCTCTGTAACATTATAAAAAGTATGTCAACGCCGGTTGTAAGCCGAGTGAGATGTTTTGCATATTTTGATATAATAAATTTTGTTCTCTTCTGACGAGAGAGTAATAAGCAGTAAGCACCGTTCTTCTATTTATATGTGGATTCTATCGAAAGGCAACAGAGATGCTTTCATTTGAATCTTTATTTGAATCATTTCTGATTATTCATTTTTATATTATTATGCAAGCACATATTATAAAGAGTAATCCTGATTTACATTAAAATCGATCGATTCATTCGCAAATGATTTGCGTATAAAACTGGTAATAATCTGACGACAAATCCTCCTGTTGAAATCGACAAATAGATCTGTAGTCACAAGAGTAACGCAGTGGCAAGACATCGATAAAGATGCCAAACTCATGCCATCGAAGTGATTTTGTCTCTGAATCTAATTCAAACACTAGTAGAATCGGCTTTTGTGAAAATACATTCTTCGAGATCATGTTCGGGAAAAAGAATATACTGCGGACGACAAGAAAAATGAGAAAGGAAGAGAAAGAGAGACTGAAACGCAAAATCGCGAAATTACATGTGACCTAAACAAGCCGCTTTAACAATTTGGATTTCTACTAAATCGATCGAGTTACGCGAGAAACACATCTCTACCGTTCATGTAAAGTCGAATCATTAATTGGATTAATTTTTTAATCGTTTATCGTTTATCTCGATCAAGGGAGCTCGTGCTACAAAATTGACCAGATTTGGGTGGGACTCGGCTTGCTAATTTTCTATTTTATTTATTTGCACATCCTTAGCCATGATAGTCTCATGGCTCGTGCATACTGTGCATGTCGTATTACTATGTTCTGCATTTAGATACCGTGGCAGATCCCCGCGAGCGATATCCCGGATATGTACGACGACACAGATTGGGACTGGTGAGGAAGACGACGTTGTTTTCTTCGAGCTGGCGTGACGTGCGGCGTGTTTCGCGAAACGTATTTACGAGTGCTCCACGGAGCACGCGTCCCTTTTTCGAGAGCATAAACTGCGATAAAACATATTCGTAATCGCGATCGTGAATCGGTAATCTTATCAGGCGTGCCGTTCATTCATGTCTATATTGAAAATTTGAAATAGTTTGAAATACGGATAAGCTCGTTATTTCTAGAAGCTGTTTGATAAAACATTTTATCGATTAACGGAGAGAATCACATTTTTCATTGATTAGAAGCTAATATATGAATTATTCTTGATTTAATTTTTATAATTATGCATTATTTATTAGCTCATTTACATTTATATATAGTTATTATCGGCGCTTAATTGTGTTCATAATTATTAGAAAAAAAGTGAGAAGATTAACCTTTTCAGATTGATCTACAGAAAACTTATAAATGCAAAATAAATTTTCTTCATTTTTCAAATATAATAATTGATAGTGGCATAATAAGCTTCGCTGTATGTTTTATTCATCAGATCGCTAAGAATTTTCACAAGAATTGCAGAAAATTATTATTAAAAAATAATAGTTAAATCTCGCATAATAAAGAATATGCACAGGAATCGTCGATGAAGGTAACGAATCTCGTGCGCGCATTCATCCGGAAGTGAACGTGATTCGAGACAAATATCACGCCGCTGCAATATCAAGCCGCGATTCTCAGGTGCGTCGACCGCGCGTTTCTTCACGGGATGAAAAACCGCAGACCGCTTGTTCATCTGCGGTCGACGAAGAAGGTAAAGGTAGACAGAACGAAGAGGGAAAGAGGAAGAACGGGAAGCCGATAAGGTAAACGCAGATTAACCGGTCCGTTCGTTGCATTTACGGCGCGTAAAAAAATCTCTCGCGTAGGTGCAGTTTGCGGGATGTCCATCGCGCATTTTCGAGTAACTTAATAAATCGTGCTTCCTGCACTATGAATATCGTGCCATCATTTTTATTAATTCTTTTCTAAACGTGACAAAAAATTGTAAAAAATGTCGATCGCGAAAATAAATCAAGATTAGCAGCGGGGGGAAATTGAAGGAGTGACTCGCAGGAATAGCGGGCGGGTGTTCTTCGAAGCCGCACTTCAGATAGTACCCGGCTCCGATCGATTGATCCGCCGCTACGCCAATGGACTTGTCGCGTAACGGGGCTCGAAGTACGGTCCGCTCGCGCACTCGAAACCCATCGTGCTTCCTGCACCCAACGGCTTTTTTCTCCCGAACGATCGGACTTAATTAAATACCGGCAGGCATTCCCTATCGTGTCCTCTCCACGGCGAGAAAGGCGTATCCAAGGTTGCTGCACCACGCGAATCCCGTTTGCCGTCGCGAATTGATACGACACGTTATAAAAATATATGAAAAGATGAATTGTTGCATCGCTATTTTCAATTGGTTTAGGATACTTCTTTCATTTGTTTTAATTTTATGATTTTGAATTTCATTATCTATTTATTGCTATTTATGTGAGATTGGAAAGTCCTATCGTTAGATGTTATTTACGCTCCAATATACTTCCAAGAAAAAGAAATCGCAAATCAGAAATATTAATATTATTATTAATAACTGAGTCTTTCTTATAACTGCATATTAATATTTTGTATAACAAACGTACCGCAGTACAAATAATTATATTAGAAGTAATTAACTTTTTATTTTATATACAAATATCTGTCGCAACTTTACTTTTCCTTTTCATTGCTGCATAATTCGTAACGCATGATTGAAAAGGAATAATAATATAATCGTGCATGCAACGTGTACACGAACGACAAGAAGCGAGAGCCGCGCGCATGCATACGCATGCGCGAACGGCGGGCGCGCGGGTCCTCCATGAATGAAATTGACGGTGGGTCGGCAGACCACGTGACGCGCCGCGGGGGTGACGAGCGTAGTGAGTGTACGCCTTACGTGACAATCGACGCGCGGCTTCGCGCGCGCGCGGCCGCTTCGGTGAACGTTCAGGAGATGTCGCGGCTCGCTCGCGTGGCAGCTGGCTTGAAACACCTGACTGCAGCGTAGCAGTGTGGCATGGGCTGGTGTGGCGGGCGCACACTTCTTTCAAAACAGATAGCACGCGCTACCGGCTGACAGCGACGACGATTCACTCCCTCGTCTCTCCGTTCTCTCATCCTCCTTTCTTCCGCATCCTGTACGCCGAAGTTATTGTCCATGCGGTCCCGGTATAATCGTACGGTCACGTGACGTTCCCGCGGATCTTTACGCGGCACGTGCGGCCAAGTTCACATGGAGCGTCGTCGTGGAACAACATCGACGTTCGCGTTTCGAAGTCGTCGGCGTTGCCTCGAGATCTATCCGTTCGGGATTAACGAATTCTTCGGATAAAAGGACACGCGCGCGGCGCAGTGAATCTCTCGCGTGTCGGATTCGCGATTCGAAGTTGAAGAAGATATGACCGCGACACGGCGCGCGGTGACCGCGGCGCGACCGGGCTCGTGAGTGCGGAAGAGTGTTCGAACGAGTGTCCGCCGAAAAATGACGCTCATCGGCCGGACATCGGTGAGGACAGTGCTGCTGACGTCGCTGTTGCCGATTTCCGTGTTGGTGGTGCTGGCGCGCGCCGGGGACGTCGCGACCTTGGAATACGGCGTGGTACCCCTTCCGGCATCCAGAGAAGAGCGACCGGATACAGGTGAGCTGGAGTTTTAGCATTCTGCTTGAATTTGCTCTCGGAGCAAATCTCATTCCGGCGTAATATTAATCAATCCTCGATCATTCCTACGAAAAAGTAATGTTCTAATTCTATGAGAGACTAATATAATCTAATTATAAATGTAAGAAGATTAAAATATATGAAGAAAGTGCAATATCGGAAGCGTGAAGAGAACTTTCATTTTTTTATATTTTGCGAGAATTTTTATAACTATTTCTATTTTTATTTTATAATTTTTTGTTAATTACTTTAATTATTTAGCCTTGTTATATTTTAATATGGCAAGATTATTGGATACTTGATTATTGGATTATTGGATTATTTAATATGGCAAGATACATTGGATTTGCATTGATATTTAATAGTTGAAAGCTTTAATTTGATTTTTTTATAAAATTGAATATTAATAAGAGGAGAGCAACGAGAAAACAGGCATAATAAAAATTTATATTGAAAAAGTATTTAAATGTAATAAGAATAAATAATAATGGACAATAATGAATAATGCGATATTACTTGCATAAAAAAATTATAATTATAATGTATTTCTTTTTTTATCCTCGCATCTCAGTATAATAATAATAATAATAATTGCTATTCTCATGGTCGATTATATCTTTTTCACAATACTTATATACGATAGAAATAGAAAAAGAAAAATTGCATCTATATAAAAATATAATAATGCAGAAGGGTGAAAGGAGCATCTACAAGACATTTCACCGTCATTGCATCCTTATCTATCTCTTCTTCTTTTCATTCTCGCACGAAGATGCACTCTCCGGCGATCATTGCAATGACGGTGAATGCCTGAACTTTGTTGCTCGTCTCTCGCTTTGCCGATGAAGAACGACCTTTGCACTCGGTTGCTTCTGTGAAAGTACGCTTGCGCATCCTCCACCGCTTCATGGCAAAACGTTTCGCGTGTTCTCTGCAAATCCGTAGATTTTAAAATTTATTATATTTTTGGGAGAACGAGTTTATTAAAATTTATCTATTTACTTTAAAAAATATTTCGATTACTGATATTCATTCTATTATTATCTAAATATAATTCGTTTACAGAATTATGATTCATCATGATGCAATTTAACAATGATACCACATTATATAAGTATTGAAATCTTTTACTTTTATATTTCTACTAAATTTCTCCATTAAGGAATGCACTTATGCATTATGTGGATTTCACTATTTGCATTAAATACCACTCAAATTGATTTCACTCGAATTATCGAAGGTTCTATTAATTCTGCACAACGCTCGTTAGCTTTCCAAATGCTACCTCGACGGCTCGTAGAAGCGACGTGTACGGTATCGCAATTAAACACGATAATAAAGACGCGGGTCGATTTCCCATGGTCTTTAGAAATGCACAGCACTCCATTTTGCTGGGTCGCATCCGTCGTCTCGATCAAATCGATTAATTTGCATGCGCTTAGAAAGGCGGAAGCACGTCTCCGCATGCACGTGTGTCGACCGCAAAGCCGATGAATCTTCGCGAGGTCTTCTTTGTGAGTGCAAATTAGTCGCGCGATCGCGCTTTCTATTAGCAGTTAAATGCGATAAGTGCAGCGAATAAATTTTAACGCGATCAGCATACACCGAGGTCGGCGGCCGAGATTTTTCTGCAACGATTAAGTTTCGCGTTAAATCATCGTCAACGTGCATTTATCGCGCTTTGACACGCCGGGGCGTTAGGAAAATATTCGAAACTGTCATACCGTTGGTCTCGCGCATCAAACTTAATGGACTGTAGCTCACTGAAATGACAAATGAATGCTTCGGTTCTTTCGCGACGCCCATTACGACTTTTCAAAGGCGATATTCGGTATTTATTAGGTAGAAAGTAACTCGAGAAAAAAAAGATTTCTTCACGGCTGATTGAACTTATTGTACGCCATATAAATAATAATTTGATTAATCTATGATCAAGTTTCACCAAGCAAAGTGTTGATTATCTATTCCGCTTCTATTTTTATGTAGGATATTTCCAAATATATGCATAATTTTTTAATATCAAATCCAGAATAACGAAAATTTAAAATAAATTTTTTTTTACAAATTAAATTAATCTTTAAGATTTAAAAATTTAGCGTTCTAAGAAGCATTTTAAATTTTATTTAATTAAGAAATTGAACTTTCTTCATATATTTGAATTATCTTCTCGAGATTGGAATAATTAAAATAGGAGAAATCCGGTATTCTTAGGTGATCGCCGAGAGCGAATAACTTTTCGCGAATTGATGGCGAAAAATCCTTCTTCTACGTGCAACAATGTATCGTACGGCGAATGCACATGCATGCATTAGGGAGAAGCGGAAAAATGTTCCTGGCATCGGTTCATGTAGAATCGTCTTTCAACCTTGATGCGAATGGTATGTACGTGTCGAGGCTATTGTTAAAAGGGGACCTCGTGCGAATGTAGCTTACGGATAACTGTTCGTCGACTGCGAACGTGCCGCGAGCGTTCATTTAACGACCGCGAATTTACGATTCCCTAATATTATTTACAGCTCGTAAGGTAATCCTTAATGAATCACGCGACTCCAATTTAGTGCAACTCGATCCATAAGACATCTGCGAAATTTAACGACCACGCTTTATAATTACCTCTTCTTTTGGATTTTCAATAATCTTTTTTAAATATTAGCTCATTATCTTGTATTATTTCTATGAATAATAATATTTATCATTATTTTACAATTATGATCTTGAAGTATTTTGTTTTACGAATTTATTAATTAGTTAAAATCATAACATTTTCTTTAATTAACAGTTAAAATTTTTGCATAAAGATAAAATTAATTTTCATTTACAATCTTTATTTTAAAATGCGTAAGCGTTTTATTATATAACGTATTTCTTCTTGATTAATACTCCGCACATTTGTTTTTTTTATTAAAATATTTTGTGATTTTCTCAATCGGAAGAATAATTTTATTAGAAAATTGATGGAGGTAGATATTAATTAAGAACGCGAACAAGGAGTCAAAGGATAATCGCGTAAAGGCGGGAATTTAATTTATCTTGGACGAAACGCGTTACGTTTCAAGTTGCAAGTGCAACACGTGGTTTCCTTTCACGACTTTCGATAACAGGATTTATATTATGAGATACAGTCGACGTAGAGCCTTATCAGGGCTACTACTAGAACCTCGGCATTTGCTCGCGTGGCTCAGCAGGGTTGCCGTGAAGAATAGATTGCAATAGGCTGCAATTTTCTAGGAAGATTCAGAATACTTGGCGTACACGCAACATTAGATAACCGTGGGAGATTTAATTAAGATTAAACCGCTTGGCGGCTTGTTCGATCCGCCCTAATCACGATTGCGAAATCAAATATCAAAGCAATATTTTTATTTGCCCTTTGCGATTTTGCAATAATTCGTTATCGAAAATGTCACATGTACATAGAAAAAGATATTACTGAAAATAATTATTAACGTCAATTTACTCAACGAAGAAAATAAATTTATGTAATTTAATATGATGAGATTTAATTTTAACATTTAATTTTAGAAAGTAATAGAATATTTATATATTTTATAGTAATAGAATAATTAAAATAATGTATTAAATTTAATTTGAGAAAATGTTTTTCTCAAGATTTTATAATATAAATACAAAATTTTGCCAACGATAACAAATCATTTAATCTACATTTATTTCATCAATTTAAAAGAATATTCTTTTTACGATTATCAGCTCTTTTTATTATTTATTAATTATTGTCACGATGACATTATTATTATACCTTAATGTTTATGCAACGGTCTTCAAGGACATGTGTTTCAAGTAAGAATCGGAATGAAAATTTGAATTGATTTACGTCAAGCGAGCCATCTTGAAGATTTAAAGGCTGATAATCTGTTCGAGATGCAAAAAGTGTACTTAAAATTCCGACAGTGGCAGCTGGCTCTCTCTTTGGTTTTAGAGAAAATTTATGATCTGACCAGAACGCGTTCGGTCACTCCTACCCGGGTGCGAAGGGTGTAATTTTATAACCGGTCATAATTAGAGACATTACCTCGCTTAGGATCCTTTGCTCGTGCGTTCCACACCGCGAGTTCACCTCCTCCTTGGATTGTGCGGCGCGCGGTCATTTCGCTCCCATTATTATGCCAGAACAATGAATAGTTAAAATCTCTTTACTGCTATGTGAGAGCTGGTGTAGGAAACCTTCTTCGAGCTAGCAGGCCTGGAAGGACTTCGGTATTTCCTTTTTATCTCCTTTCCTCGCGATTTAGCGTATCGAAATGTATTGTAAAGCATTGCATTTATTCAGTTATTGATATTAGCGGCACAAATAAATTTTAATAAAACATAGCTATATAATAAATATAGAGCAAACATTTTACAAATAAATTTCATTTTCAATTAGCTTCAATTAGCATACGAAAAGCTATAAGCGTTATTTATATTACTTTTCGTTTGAAAATATATTATGATTTATAATATATTATGATTTATATTATTTTTATTATTATAGTTGCAAACAAGATTTGTTTGCTTTACTGTTTGTGTTAGAATTTTGCAGATATAACTCAATTCAACATGATTTATGCCGAGAGTCGAGTGTGCTTGGTTGGTCATTACGAGGTAATGTCGAAGAATGAACCGAATTCCGATGAGAGAGAAACACGTGGCAATCGGGAAAGTAGCTGTTTCGATTATGCAAGCAAATAAGAGCTGTCCGTATCAATAGTTCTTTGCTACTTTTACGATCGCGTTTTTCACGAGTGATTATCCTAGATAGTGTATCCGTACCCGCAGTAGTGATGCAGATTTGTTTAAACCTGTAATGTTACAGGCGAGATTAAATTATGCAACAATTATTTACTTTCTAACATGAATTTTAACATGATTTTCCATCCAACTTTTTAATTATTTAAATAAAAAAATTTGAAGATAATTAAGAAAATTATTTTAAAAAATGTATGAAAATTGATTATTCTTATCATAAATCGTGCCAAGCC